TACCGTAAAGCAAACATTTATCTTTATTTATTTATCATATATTTAATAAATTGTTTTCAACATTCTTTATTTGTAATAAATTGTTATATTTAATTTTATAATTTTTTTTTTATTATTTTCAGTTCAAATTTAAAGGACTCTGCATAGCCGAGGAGGATTCATCGATCGGTGAGTCTTTATATTTTAATCTCTATTTTCTGATGATTTATAATTGATCTAAAATCGATAATAATGTTCTAATTTATCAAAAACTGACAGTTTTGTCAAAAAATTTGATTTTAAATTATTTTAAAACAATGAGAAATGTTTATTTGAAGCAAGTAAAATATACGAGGGAAAAAATTGAATTCTAAGTAAAAATGGAAATTACGAAAAAAAAAATTATATTTTAGAATGAAATGGGTGCGCGTGCTTTCTTGGAAAGCAATTTTCTATTTGTCCTCATAAAAAAATATATGTATGACAAAATCATCATCATCAAACCCCTTCTCACGGGGTCGAGTTTGATCCCAAATACCGTAACTGTATATAATAAGGTTTCCTCGTACCGGGTGAAGGTTAAACGCAACTCGGTGCAAAAGATATATTATTTTTATTGCGTGTTTAGAGAAGTGCATCCAACTCTTTTTCTCTTTCTCTCTCTTTTGTACACACCCTTTTGCCCTCGCGACAATTGCATAATTATTTCAATTTTCCGGTGTTGCATTTCTGTTCGCCTCTTTTATATACAGTGTATGGCATTTCATCGAAAAGACGTTTTATATATTATTTCGCAGTAAAAACAATTTTTTTAAATATATTTTTTATTTTATATATATACACTTTTTCCAATTTCTATTATATGTACTAAAAAACAAATTATTTTCTTTAATTAATCAGTTATTTAATTTTATCAAATAAATATTTATTTTTATTAATTATTGTTTCAGTTAATTAAATTTTATTTGTTTTAAATACATATTATTTAATTCGAATAAAAATTATTTGGTACAAGAAAATATTTATTTAATTATATCCAAGTATAACCAATTACTTAAATAAAATAAATTTTTTTCAGTGCGTGTATAGCAATAATTGTTATATAACTAATACAAACTAAAAAAAATTTATTTAATATAAATAATTGAATTTTGAACTATTGTCAAATAAATATTTCCTTGAAGCAAATAATTTTTATTTGAGTCAATTAAATTTTATATTTGTTTTAAATACAAAAATTATTCTTAAATATATAGTTTATTTGATTCAAATAAATATTATTATTATAACAATTATTTGATTCAAATAAAAATTATTTGATACACTGAAAAAAGGGTTTGGCATTGACAACCAAACATTTGGTTGGTATTTAAGCAACCAAAATTTTTTTGTGAAATCAACAAAATTTTGGTTGTCCCAATTAAACTTTAGTTAGGACAACAAAAATCCTTTTTTTTCTAATTTTGGTTGTGTCAAACAAATTTTTGATTGAGAGAATTAAAATTTTGTTGATTCAACAAAAAAAATTTGGTTGCTTAAATACGAACCAAACGTTTGATTGTCAAATATCAAACCCTTTTTTGCAGTGTACAAATAATAATTATTTGATATAAATATAAAAATCATTTTGATAAAAATAAATATTTATTTGATAATAGCCAAGTAACTGATTATTTGAATCAAATAATTATTTTTTCAGTGCAGCTAATAATTATTTTTTACAGTTAACATGTTTTGCTGTACAAATTAATTATTAGCTATCATTAGTTAAAAATTAGCTACCCGCATATAATAGCAAACTTATTTGTCTTCATGTAATTTTTAGTAGAAAAATTATTGAAAATTTAACTATATAATTGAATTAGTTATCAGAAATTTTAGTAAAAAAAGTTAAATTTTAGTTTTTAGTTTAGTTAAAAGTGAATTTAACTAATAATAAATTAATTGAAATAATTAATAATTATATCGAGCACTCCGAATTATTAATTCAAAATATTATTAATTAGGTATTAATATTAGTTATTATTAATAATAATACTAGTAGTCTCTCTAAATTTGAATTAGTGAAAAGTGAGCTACTAATTCATATTATACTAAGAATTTTTAATAATTTTTAGTAAAATATTACTATTTGATTTAGTAGTTTTTAATTTTTTTTTACTAAAATTTTGGTAAAAATTGACTTAGATTTAGAGAGGTTACTAGTTATTATTAATATTATTAGTTACACTGCAAAAAAAAGTATTTTAATTTAAGATGTTTTTGATAGTCATTTCTAAGATGTTATTTGATAGATTCCTTTTAGTTATTTGAAATATCTTAATTTCAGATGTTAAAAGTATCTTCGTACATATATATTTAGCATATATTTTTTGGGAAAAAAGTTTTGAAGATAACTAAGGGCTCATAATATGTAAAACACTTTATGCTCCTTAATTTTTGGGAACTTATTTTTGTCGCATCTTACGATTCCATGTGGAAAAAGTAAATAAAATTTATATTGCAAATTGAGTATACAATCAGAAAAGTTCCATGGTAGTCACAGCCCATGAGTACGAGTGAGACAAACTTATGCGTAACGCATGCTTTCCTATGACTACCATGGTACTTTTCTTACTGTATATATTTTATATATAAATTATATTTAAATTATATTTAATTTTTTCGCATGAACAAAAATTAAATATAATTTTTACATAATTTAAATATAAAAAATATATACTCAATTTAAAATATAAATTATATTTACTTTTTCCACATATGGGATTCATAAGCAACTTATATTGTTAAACATCTTATTGCGTTAGAAACATCTTAATTTAAGTTACTTTAAAAAACTTGCCGAAGTATCTTACTTCTTTTGAAATGGAAGAAAAATTGTTTATTTTAAGATAAATCATAAATAAGACACATATTTTTGCAATATATTAATATTTTTAATAATTAGTTATTAAATTACTAAAAAATTAATAGAAATATTACTATTTGATAACTGACTTTATAGTTATTTTGAACTAATTGCAAATTTAGCGAATGTATAATAATTATTAATAATTCGAAAAAATATTTTTGAAATGATTCATAATATTGATAATATATATGATAAATGTATTATCTGGAAAGTATAATCACAAAATCGAATATATAGAAAGTATAATTCTATACGAGTTGCGCGGAATTCCTTCCGGTCCATTGGAATTCGCGTCAGATATCATATATATTTTCCCAGAGTACATTATAGACGATAAATTGTTGACTATAAGGTGTAGGTACATATATATAGAGGTCAAAGGCGTAGGTGTCTGTTTCAATGAAAAGGGGGATTCTAATGCGTGGAACATATATACATTTGTCGGGTGGGTGGTATTTACACGGTCGCGTTCCTAGAAGCCGCGAATGCGTACTCGGTATCATATATAAGATATAGCATGATTCATACAACATCGACGACTGACCTAGCGTCCCGCGTGTTCTCGCAACTCATCACAAGTTCATACCTCTATAGTATAAATATATATATATATATATATATATATATATATATATATGTATATAATTGTTATAATGTCCCGTAATACCTTGTAATATGAGGATGACTAAACCATTTTGCCAAGCTCGCTTCTCTTCCTAAAGCTCTCTCTCTCTCTTTCTCGAAAGTCTGGGAATCGATTAATCGAGGGGATTCCAGGTAACTCACCTGTTACTGCCGTTATAACGTTCTCGCCAAGCCCCGTCACGAAGAAGGGAGGCTATATGTATATAGATATAGTTATTCGTGTACACGTTCTGTTCCACTTGGCTGATAAGGGAATATGCCTACCTTGACTCAAGTCCAATTCCATGAACAATGGCAAAACCCATGCGACATGCGAAAAGTCAGGGTCAACACATTTATATATATATATATATATACATACATACTTGGGAAATAGTTTTCATAATATAGGTTGGATAAACTTTGAAGGTTCAGGAAATCGTAAAGTTTCAATCGATATATATATAGTGAATGCGCTTTTTTTCTTCGAAACGTTTTTGAGAATCTGGAAACTCATTTTTCCATTATTGGTGACTAATTAGTTTTTATATTATTCTGCCCTACAATGGAAAAATATAGTAAATATGTGTGTCACCGTTTTAGTATTTAGGGATGAAAAAATAATATTGTTGTAACAATATATATTTAAAATATGCTTTTTCAGGATGTCTACTAGTCCTGGAAGTTCTGGAATTTTAATTTTTATCCTTGAATTTTTTATATTTTGCTTTTAAATTTTCAAAAATTTCTAAAAAATTCATTAAATAAGTAAAATGAACATTTACTTAAGTAATTAATTAATTTTTTTAATAATTTCTGAAAACAATAGTTAAACTAAAAATTTTTTTTATTCCTTAAAGTCATCCAATTTAATGTCCTGGAAAAATAAGAAATTTGTCCTGAAAAGTCCTGGAATTTTAATTCAGATTTTTAGTAGACACCCTGTTTTTCTACACAACTGAAAAAAAATTTTTTTTTTTTTATTCAAATAATTGTTTATCAATTATAAATATTTATTTATATCAAATATAATTATAATAGTCGATTAAATGATATTTAAAAAAAAAACAGAAATTATTGGTAAATACAGTTTAATTTAATTTCGAAAATTATTTGGTTTAATTAAATATTTATATAATTGATAACCAATTATTTTGAATCAATTTTGGAGAAAATATTCATTAAAATAATATTAACAAGAAATAATTAAAACTTTGTCTATATATTCAACTGAAAATAAAAAAAAAAAAAATCTCCTTAAAAAGGTAAAATTTATCGACTACTTTGTTTATCGAATGTTGAAATTTTTTTCGATATGTAATAATTAGAAGACATCAAAAATATAGATGCGATTGAAAATTTTAATTTGAAAGAATAAAAAATAAAGGGGATAATATGCAGACAATAATGGGATCTTCTTCTTCCTGTTATAGGTTATTAAGTTCCTGCCGCCAAAGAAGGTCCTTAATTTTCTCTCTTGATTTTTATAACCTTGTCCGAGTAAAGCAAGAAGTTTAAAGGCAGAAGTAATACTTGAACTTTTTAATTGCAAACAGAAAGATATTTTCTTTTTTTCGTTCGAGACATTTATTTCGCTTAAAAAAAATTTTTTCTTTCTAAATAAACAATAAAACAAGAAGAGAATAATAATAATATTTTTTTTTTAGAAATATTAATCATCACTAAATTGATGCATATTAAGATCCGCGGTATTTATTATTTTTTATTCCTCTGGAGGCTTTGTTTCATCTTCATTTTTGTTTTCTTCTTCTTCTTCTTCTTCCTCTTCTTCTTCTTCTTCATTATCAGCATCATTTTCATTTTCATCTTCAGCATCATTTTCCTCTTGATTTTCATCTGCTTCATTTTCCCCCTCATCAAGTTTTTCTTGATATTGTTTTTTCAACAATTCGAGACCCTCACCATTTGCCTTTCTATAACCTGGGGCTGAAGTTTTCATTTTCTCCAACCACCTTGAAACATTTTCATATTTACTGACGTCAAAGCCAAACACCTAAAATGTCAACAAAAAAAAAAATCATTGTAAAAAAAAGAGTGTTGCAAGAATATTAAAAGTTGAATACATTCTGAATCTGATATATGTCATATACAATTATTTACGGTTTATTAAAATTCAATTTCTGTTAATTTTCATTCATAGTGTTTAGTGTCAACTTTTTTTTTTTTTTTTATTTTATTCTTCATAATGATGATGGAAAAAAAATAATTTCAAAAAATACCTCGCTTGTTGTGACTGTGGCAGTTATTGATAAATCTGCAATTGTCAAATTTTTTCCCGCCACGTAATCCTGACCCTCGAGATATTTATCTAACATTTCATAAACTTCCTCAACTTTTGGATATTTCGTTGAATCAAATTCTTTCTCTCCTTTGAATGCAACAGGAAACTAAAAAAGAAAAGAAAAGAAAAAATTATTTAATTTCAGTAATTTTTTTTTTTATATAATTAAAATTTAGAGTATATTTTTAATTTAAAGTGATAATTAATTTTTTTTAAACAAATTTTATAAATGACTCACATAATAAGCGGCAATCGCTTTATGAAGTGTTCCAATGTCAAAATATAAACGATGATCGACCAATGCTCGACTGCCCGGATTTTTTGGATACAATCTTTCATTTTGACTATATTGATCAGCTAAATAAGCTAAAATTGCTCGGCTAAAATTTTTATTTTATTTATTTTATCATTAAACTTTTGATATTTTTAATTTATAGTAAAAAAAAACAAACTGTATTTATTCTAAATATAAATTTTTATTCTATTGAACTAAATTTCTATAGTTCTTTTAAAAATAAAAAAATTTGGGTATTTTTTAAAATTATTTGTAAAATAAAAATGTTAAATAAAATTTTTTATAGAATTTAAAAAAAAAAAATAGCTTCTGTCTGTTTTAGTCGAAAAGTTATAAAATCGAGAATTTTTTTTTTTGCACATACTGAAAGTTTATACATATAATAAACACGCCGGATCTGGCAAATGCAATGAAATAAGTAGAAAATTTAGTTCATTACCGGATCTTCACTGTATTAAGTGGACAGTTGATTAAAGCACGCATCATCGCGCGTCCCTTATAATTCGATTAAGGGCTTTTTAAACCATAAAAAAATTCTTATTTATTTGACTATAATAATAATAATAATAATAATAATACTTTTCTCGATTTGTTTCAAAATAATTATAAATTGTCATTATCAAATTATAAATATAAATTGTTATATTTATTATTATTATTATTATTGTTATATTTATAAATATATATTATATAAATATATTATATAAATATTATATATATTTGTTATTATTGTTATATTTATAAATTGTTTTTATCAATTTAATTTTTTTAATCAAAATATTAATAAAAAATACTTTTTTTTATTTAACGAAGGGGTAAATAATAATCAGAATAGAGGTGCCATCTAGTCTTTGCTTTGATATACTTTAATATGAGAGTTTAGCTGAAGATAAGGTAGAGAATTTTCCCTATTTAAATCGAATTTTGTTTAAATTAACAATTTATCCTAATCGAAAATAGTATTTTACCTTTCACCGAGTTTATAATCACCGTCCACTAATGTTGGTATAAGTTTTTGAGGATTCATCTGAAATTAAAAAACAAAGTTTCAAAATAAAACAAAAAATTTATAGCAAAATAAATAAAAATAAATAAATAAAAAAAAAATAACTAAAAATATAAATAAATAAAAACAAAAAACCTAATAATATTTAATAAAATTTTGTTCGTTATTTTTTAATATTTGTTTAATTTTGTTTAATTTTAAATTGGTAATAAAACGAAATAGTTTTCCATATAAAAAGAAAAGTAAATTTTTAAAAATTATAATATATTTACCTCTTCATATTCAGGTGTTTGATGTTCACCATTTCCTATGTCGACTGTTATTAAATTCACTTCGATACCAATTGCCTCAGCTGTTAATAAAATTGCTCGACATCCCGAGCATGTATTTAATCCATACAAGTCAACTGACATTTTTTTTTTTTTTTTTTTTTCTTAATTATAATAATTTACTTAAATTAAACACTTAGAAAAAATAAATTCTTTTTTTAATCAATTTTTATTTGTTATAGTTTCTCATTTGTTTAAATTAATTATTAAATTTCCTTGTATTCACTCTCAGTTCTCAGATTTATATTTTTAATTAATAATTAATAATTGATTTTTATTCAAAAAATTATTTAATTTCTAAATTGAAACATTTAGGAATTTTTTTTTTTTAAAGGAAAAATAAAAATTTTATTTATTATAAAATAATTTCTTTGAGGGGGTGAAAGTATCGGGTTTGATATCTATTCATACACTGAGCATAGATTTTTTTTTTATAGCTCATAACTTCTTGTTATATATCGCCGTCTATAGAACATAATTATATGTGTCATTTTTGCATTAATAAAAGGAAAGGAATTATTTGAACAAATCTATATAATAATCTTATTTATTTAAATATATATATATATATATTTATTTAATATTGTTTATTAGGTACATATTTATTTATTATATTTTATTTATTATGAGTTTATTTAAATAATTATTCATTAATTAATCATGAAAAATATTTTTTAAAGAAATTTAATATTAGAAACAGAAAATAAAATTAAACAATAAATTTTTCGACATAAATTTTATTTTATCTTTTTAAATCACAATTAAACAGTCTTTATAATAATTTATTTTATATAATATGAAAAACAATCGTAATGCATTATAAAAAAATTTCAACATGATTATTATAATTTGTACCTACATTTTTGTGCGCGAATTTATGAAAATAATATATTAGAAATGTATTTTAAAACGATGGTAAAAGGGAAAGATAAATTTATTTCTTCATTGCATCGACAAGAGCTTTGAATGCTTTTGCTCCTTCTCCATTGGTCCCCTCATAATTGGTAGCTTCTTTCTTTATTTTTGAGTACCATTTGGTGACATTTTTGAAACTACTTAAGTCATAATCCATAACCTGTTAAATTTTATAGAAATTAAAATTAAAATTAAATTAAATTAAAATTCATACAATATTAAAAATTTTTTAAGTAAAAATAATATTTTCTGATTAATTATAACTATAATTACCTCAAAGTTTGAAACTGTGGTAGTTAGAGCAAGATCGGCGATAGTCATATTTTTTCCAGCCACATAATTTTCACCCTCAAGGAATTTATCCAAAAATCCAATAGCTGTTGCAATTTTCTTATAATTTTCCTCGTCTTTAGGAGCATTTGCAAAGATTATTGGGTACTAAATTAAAAAAAAAAACATTTATTGAATTGTATCATATATGAGAATTTAGTATAATTTTTCTTTTAAATTATTAAAGTTCTCTTTTTTCTAAGTGAACTTACATAATATGTTGAAAATGCTTGGTAAAGTGTTCCCAAATCGAAGAACAATCTTTGATTAACAATAGCACGTTTCTTGGGATCTTTGGGATAAAGAGAATCATCTTTTCCATATTGATCAGCCAAGTAGGTTATAATAGCTCGACTAGAAATTTTAGAAAGAAATATTAATTCTTTTGGTTTTTAAAATTTTTCATTTTTTTTATTTATTTATTTTTTTTATTAATATTCATTCGATCAAAATAAAAATTTGCATCTATATAAAAAAAAGTATGTTTGATTCAATTTTTTAATTAAAAGAAGTTTTTTTTAATTAAATTTGAAATTAGAATATAAATATAGTAAAATGGGAATATAATGAAAGAATATAATTATTTCATACCTTTCTCCTAAGTAGAAACCATTATCATCCATTGTTGGAATAGTGTGTTGAGGGTTCATCTGTTTCATTAAGAAAATTAACATTATTAATCTATTATATGACTGTCACGATTTTTAAATGATTACAAGAATTGTGTCAATGACACACAGAAAAAATATTATATACATGCAAAAAGAGAGGCTTTTAATAGAAAGAAATTATATTCATTTTTTTTTCCTTTTTTTATAATTAAAAATAATAATTTTTTTCTTACCTTAAGATATTCTGGCTTTAAATGTTCACCCTTCATTAAATCACAAGGTTTTAAATTCAATTTAACCCCTAAAGCAGCGGCAACCAATCGAACAGTCCGGCAAGGCGAGCTGCCGGGTAGTTGATATAAATCAATTGTCATTTTGGTATCTGGAATTAAAAAAATGAATATTTAAATTATTAAAAAAAATAATAATAAAATAACAAACAATAATAATAATATTAATAAAATAATAATTACTAAATTTTAAAACAATAATATTCTTCTTTAATTCAATTAATAATTATTTGTTATCTTTTTAATTGTTTTTATAAATAATAGATTATTTAAAATAATTGAATGAAATATAAATAGTTTAGAAACCTTCAACTATTCATAAAATTTTTTTCTTTGTAATATATATATATAGATATTACGTGAATTTAGAAAGACTCAAGTTTTTTTGTATTTTTAACCTTGACTATTACTTGTGATTAAGGACAATTTGTTTCGATTCATTGAAACTTTTTGATTATCGACTTTTTGTTATTTTTTAGGAAATGTTATGTAAAAATTTCTGGAAATTATAAATAAATTTTTTTTAAATAAACCAGTTCTTATAATTAATTCTCCATTATTAATGCTAAACTGGTTTTTTGAAAAAAAAATATATATTTTATTTTTGTAATTATATTTTTATAAAAATAAATTAATTTTAGAAAAATTATATTTAATTTCCAGTAATTTTCTTTAACGAAAAAATTAATTATAGAACCAGTTCACCATTATAATTTATTATTATCATTTATAATATTTAATTATGTATAATTAAAAATTAATAAATGTTTTTTTTTAAATTCTATAATTTTTAGGAAAATTTGTTTTCTCACATGTGCGTTATTTATTTTGAGAGTAGAAAATTAACAATTTTTTATATAAGAAAATTATCAATGTTTGAACATTATAAATAATTCTCTAGGCTGTAAATGATAAAATATCATTATCTTGTTATAAAAAAAAAAACTCGATTCTATATAACGTGCAATTACAGAAATACAACTAGTTTCTATGCAATTACCATTGAAGGCTAAATAAGTGGCATATTTTACAGAAAATTCCGAGAATGTTAATTTTTTTCTCTCAATGTTTTCACAATTTTTATTTATATAAATTCTATATATAAAATATTACAATGAAGAAATTATAAAAAATTTCATTTAAATAATTATTATTTATTAATAAAAATAATAATATTTATAATCATATATCATTATTTAATTATTTTAAATGAATAAATCAAAAATTATTCTAATTTTATTTTATTTTTATTTTATTTATTTAGTTAACGGGACCATTATTTTGAGTTTTGTTAGCTATATTTTGTTGTGGAATTCAACGTTAATACTATACTGTTGTTAAACAATCGATATCTTCGAAGTACATAGTTTGACCCTTTTCATTTAATCAATATAAAATAATTTACTTTTTTTTTACATTTAGTTTTCATTTTATTAATTTTATTGCTAATTTTTATTATTTATTTAATTTTTTAAAATGAAACTCATTTGAAATTAATTTGATATCAATTTTGTAAATAATGATTTTTTTTTTAAATAAAATAAATATTTTATTTTACTTGTATAATATATATATATATATATATATATATATATTCAATCTATTAAATTAAGTATAAAAGGGCACTGTCCGTATATATTTAAATAAATAAATAATATTTTGTTTATAGATTCTAATATAATAATCATTCGTAATAGAAGATAACAAACTTTACTATAACAAAAATATAATCTATCAACTTGTAACCTCATTCATATATTCTCCTTGTAAAAATGTTCTAGTTTTAATGATTTAATTATTCATTAATAGTAAAAGTAATGAATAAGTTTATTTAATTTTCCGTAATTTTTTTAAAAATTCTACTAAACTATTTTTTTTATTAGTTATTTAACTTATACTGTAAATTATATTTAGTAAAACATTTTTCAGTTTTTCTTTTTAAACAAAATTCTGATTTTTCATGTAAGAAAATTATTTTTAAAAAAACAATTTTAAAATAAATTAAAAATTTTAATAATAAATTTTTAATTTTTTAATTTTAAAATAAATAAACCAATAAAATAAAATTTAAAAATTACACTTTTTTCACATTTTCTGTGTTACACTATTTTTGGAATGATTTTAAATTAAAATGCCCTTGAATTATTGGATTTATTTAAAGAATTTTTATAAATCGGTAAAATTTTATCTTGTTTACACACGTAAAAATTATTTTACAAACCTGAAAGTTACACAGGAATACTCGAAGTAGTTGACTGAAAGGAATTCAAATTCAAACTGAACAGGTTGGTCTCGACGACTTGGTTATAAAGACCGGTTAGGATTTTCTAATATTATTAACGATTACTCATATAAGGGAAGTTACAGTGGAATTAGTTGTTAATCGGTTTTTAAAATATTTGTTTTGTATTTGAAAGAATGATATTAAAAAAATTTAATGATGAAATACAGAAATATAATGATGATCATGATACGTAATGATAAAAATATGGGCTATTATTAAATAATCTATATCTCTCCTATTTGAAAATTTTTGTCAAGTCAAGATGACTAAGTATTTTTTTTTCTCTTTAATAAAGGAAAAGGAAAAGCTATAAGGAAAAGTTTGTACTTGATATTGTTTGTTTTTTATTTATTAAAAAATTTCATTAAAATTGGTCGTATAAAAAAAAAATTAAAATCATTTATATTTTTACAATTTATTTTCTCAATGATGCAACCATTTCTTTAAATTCTTTAACACCCTCTTCATTAATTTCTTTATACATTGGAATTTCCTTCTTCATTCTTTGATACCATTGATCAATATTTTTAAATTTCCTGACATCATATTCCATTGCCTATGCAGAAAAATTATAATTCAATTGGAAATGTATAAATTATTTAAATTATAAAAAAAAATTATTATTCATAAAGAAAAATTAAATGATAAAAAATTACCTCAAATGTGGAAACACTGGTAGATATAGTTAGATCAGCTAATGTGAGATTTTTTCCAGCAACATAATATTCATTTTCGAGAAATTTATCCAAAAATTGAAAAGCTGTATCAATTTTTTCCATGTTTATCGTGTCTTTTGATGCATTTTCAAAAATCGTTGGTCGCTATTGATAAAATTGAAAATAACAGTTTTTTTTTTTTTTTTTTTTTTTTTTTAACAATTTGTTTTTTCAATTTACAAATAATAGATACTTACGTAGTAATTTTTAAATAATTGATACAGTGTTCCCATGTCAAAATACAATCGTTGATTGACTAGGGCTCGTTTTTTCACATCTTTGGGATAGAGAGAATCATCTTTTCCATATTTATCAGCCAAATATGTCATAATTGCTCGACTAGAAATTATTTCATTACAATAAATTGTGAAAAATTTAATTTTCGATTATTCGTTAATTTTTTAATTTTACAATTTGTTATTAGTTTTTTTTTTTTTTTTTTTTTTAATTGTATTTTGAAAAATATCGCACCTTTCCCATAAGTAAAAACCGTCGTCATCCATTGTTGGAATTGTATGTTGAGGATTTATCTATAAAAATTATAGCGATCAATAATAAGATCAATTTTTCTTCTATATAGAGATGATTTTATTATTTTTTAATTTTTTACCATAAGAAATTCTGGTTTCATCTGATCATTTTTTCTAGGATTGCAAATTTTTAAATTCAAATCAATTCCAATTGTTGCAGCAGCTAAACGAACTGCTCGACAAGGTGAACTAAAATTCGTATGATACAAATCGATTGGCATTTTTAAGTCTGAAATTAGAATATTTTCTCTTTAAAAAGTAATATTTATATTTTCTTTTAAAAAATATTTAACAATTTTTAATTTAAAAATAAAATTTAATCAGAAAACACCCGAGTCCGGATAATTTTAGCTCTTTTTTAATTTGTGAATAATATTATCAATATTTTTTTTTATCAGTCAGCTGCTTTTTTATCTTATTATAATAAGAGGATTAAACGAAATTAATGTTTTGCGATAAATTTTTTATATGCAATCAATAAATACGTATAATATATAATAAAAAAAATTAAAAACATAAAAAATTTTTTTTTATATTCAGGTAAGTCGGAAACTTTTCGAACACCATGTATATTGATTTATTTTTAATATAATTAATAGTATTATATATCGATATTTTATAAATAAAACAAATCACTTAATAATTAAATTAAATAAATAATTAAACAATATTAATTAAAAATTAAAATTATTTCAAAATAAATGAGTTTAATGTGACATTTTAATAATCTGAATTTAATATATTGCAGTATGATAAATTTTTTCTACATTATTTAAACAAATAAATATTTGTAATTAAAAGGAAGAATTAAAAAAAATTAGTACTATCGCTAACCTGAAAATAATGAAGAAAAATTCCACGTTTAATGAACACAAGTCGCGTGATGAACACAAGAAATAGATTGGTTAGGAATGCCAACAAAATGTATCATTTTTATTTTGCGTAACTTACGAAACACAAAATCGGATTTTAAGAATTTGATTTAAAAAAAGTACCATTTTTTTTTTTATTTAAAATTTATTTAAAATTGTTTTTCCTTTTTAAAAAATTGTTTTTATTCAAATTCTTTACATCAAGGTCGTCTTATAGAATTAATATTAAATTATTAAATAATTTTTAATTGACAAATTCTTAGAAAAAAAAAAATGTTTAAAAGTACTTATAATTTATTTTCACATAAAAAAAAAACCTTTTTGTATTTTTTTCAATATTATTTACAATTGTTTAAAATTTATGATGCAAATTTTTATTGAATCGACAGTCAGTGAAAGTATCACATTGAATAATGTAAACCTTGAGCTATTTGAAGGTTCTAGATTCAATTGATAGAGATTTCCGTAGTAAATCTTTTTTTTTTATCTTTTTTCCCCAGAAAAAATCTTAAAAAAATTTAATTATATTTACTTATTTATATTTATTTACTAAAGTATTCGGTTTAACAAGCTGTTTTCTGATTAATAAAATAAAAGTCAATAGCAATTTACTATTTATATTAAAAATTAAACGCGACAATAAATAATTTTTTCTGTAACAAGAGGTGGTATTTTTTTTTTTTTTTTTTTTTTTTTTTTTTGAGAAAGAAAATTATTCGGTGCAATGCGATTTATACATTTCAGCAATAACTCTTGCTCCATTTAAATTAATTTCTTCAAATCCAAATTTTTCCAAATTTTTACTACATCTTTCGTACCATTCATTAACATTTTCATATGCACTTATATCGAAACCGCATTCCTAAAAAAAAATTTTTAATTTAAATTAACAACTATAATTTATTAATGAACTTTTATCAAAAAAATTGAATAAAAACTAAACAATGATATTTTTTTATATAAATATTTATACTAACGATAATTGAAGAAACGGAAGTAATAATAGAAAAATCAGCAATTGTTAAATCAGTCCCTGCTACATACTCATTGCCTTGAAGAAAAATATTTAAAGTTTCAAAAGCTCTTTCAAGTGCCTGAACATCTTCTTCTGCAGCTTCATTTTGTACTCCAAAAGCAACCACTATCTATTAATAAAAATAGAGAAAAATTTTAGAAACTTAATAGATTATATATTTGAAAATTTTTTAAATATTTTAATGAGACTTTTTCGAATTAAATAATAACTTTACTTACATAACATTTGTAAAATAGATCATAGAGTGTACCAACATCAAAATACAATATTTGATCAATAATGCCTTTTTTTTGAGGATCTTTTGGATACAATGCATCATTTTTTGCATATCTATTAACTAAATATCCCATAATTGCTCGACTGCAAAATTAAATAATAATTTATTATTGACAATATAGTTGTCTTTGAACTTTCGACATATAAACTAGTTAATTAACAATTAAATATTACAACTATGTTAAATATTAAAATTTAATCGATATTAAATTTTATTAATAGTTTACTAAATATTTAATATCATCCACAAGTTAACTTGAATTAATATATTTAATTTTAACTACAATATTTTAAACTAAATATAATAAATGAAAATTGAATTAAATCAATTAAAATTATTAACCTTTCGCAAAAAATTAGTCCATTATCATTAATTGTAGGTATTGAATGTTGGGGATTAATCTAAAAAAAAGTGTAAAAATTATATGTAGATAATTTAATCGATTTTTATTTTTTAATTTAAAGTTAATCTCTCATTTTTAGAAAATATATTTAAAAATTACAATCTATTTTTTCAAATTAAAATTTTTGTTACATACCTTTACAAATTCCGCTTTCATATGATCGCCTTTCATTGGACACACTTCAATATAATTAAAATGAATTCCTAATGCTTTTCCAATCATCATAATAGTCCGACACGGTGGACTTACGGGGAAAAAATAAAAATCAATTGTCATTGTTTTTAAAAAAAAACAACAAAAAAAATAAAAATAAATTCAAATAGAGTATTAATGTGAAAAAACGAATGATTTATAGAGAATATAAGTTCAAGTGTAAAGACAAGTTGTCATGACAACAGAAGCAAACAATAAACGTCAAACTTTAAAAATCTAGTAATTTATATAACAATCGAATTCATAGTTTTATTTATTTAATCGTAATAAGTATTGTTTGAAATCAATTTTAAAAATTTTAATTTCCTTTTTTTTTGTTTCTACTTTCCTTATTTTTTTTTTTTATATTTAAAAAACTTTATGTACTTTTTCCAATTTTTTATATTTTTTATTAGAAATTTTTGTTTAGGAAAGTTAATTTTTTGTTAAAATAAAACATTTTTGAAAATTTGATGGTTCTTAAAAATAAAATACTTAATTTACTAATTCCAATTTGATTAAGAAAAAAAGATTAAGGGTTCTATTATTAGAAAACAATCGCAAAATTTTTATTCTAAACTTATGTACTTAGATTAAAATAAATAACAAATCAGAATAAAATTTCAACTTAATTTATTGTTTCGTTAGTTGTCATTACCGGTAGACACCTTATGCAATAGTAAAGAGGATCCGCGAAACATAATAGGATTCCGAGTATATTCAGTATAAAAAAGAGAACACACGGACGCAGAGCTAGAATTATAATAATATGATCTTGGGGAAGGATCATTAGGTATAAAGGACCAGTCAGGGATTGTATCGGTTTTTTTTGGGGGGGGGGGGGAAATAAGGATTTTTTTTTTAACATCGGATGTTTTTTTTTCTTTGACAAAAAAAATTTCTCTAAAAAGTACGTCGCCGGAGCACTAATCGTGAACAATGGATTGTTTTCTTATACTTTAAATCTTATTAATTAATTAATTAATTAAAAAGAATCAAAAGTTAAAAAAAGCTTTTTGTTTCTACAATCATCAACTTAATTAACACGCATTGCTCGTTGTGATGTACAGACTTAACGACTAGAGTTTGCGAAATTGAACGCTTGAGGTTGAACATTATTTTTTTTTTTTATTTCCGTTAAATCGTGACATAAAAACTAAAAGGATTTTCCTTTCGCAAGATTTACGAACGATTGTTTATTACAATTTTTAAGTCGTGAATATTATAATGCTTAACTTTTTTTTTTTCTCTACACTAGAGGAGAAAAAAATGAATAAGATGACAATATTTATGATTGTGCTTGTATCAGTCATCGGAGATAAATAAAAAAAAATGATATAATTCTAATTACAATAGGTAAATAATTGATTTGGCAGAAATATTTTTCAAAAACCTCAAGAATATCGAGTTTCTATTATTTTACACTGTGCGTTTCATGAAAAAAAAATTTATTAAATGGAAATTAGTAACTAAAAACTAATTATAATTCATATGGTATGTCTTTTTTTTTATTTTTGATCTCAATATCCTTGAGAGTTCATTAAAAATATAGTTTACCGCAATTTATCACCAAAAATTATTGCTGAAAAATATTTAATACTACTTTCTTTTACTTATCAATGAATAATTCGAATTTAATTTATATAAAAAATTAAAATAATTAAACTAAAAGTAATTGTAATTCAAAAATAGTGAAAGAAATAATTTTTTTTTAAATATAAAATTTTGCTTTTTTTTCATTGATATAAGATTTTAGTAATCATAAGCTTAAAATTTTGGCGATAATTGTCGCCGGTAACTTATTTAAAAAAAAAAAACTTATCGAATCTTCTTTTTTATAAACAATCACAATTCAAAGCACACGTTCTACTAAAAAAAAAAAAAACAAGTAGGAAAAATTGTTTATACATACACTTTTAGAAATTGAGGTAATAAACTTTAGAACACGGAAACATAATCTAAAAGGTATAAAATATATACCCTGTCCAAAGAATAAAAGAAAAATAAATAAAATAATTGAAATTTGGAATATTTAAAAAAAATTAAAAGTAACTAAAAGTTCAAGTTTATTTAATATTTTATATATTGAATTATTTGAGAAATTCATTTACAGAATTTTTATTCGGTTTAAAGTCGTCGATTAAACAAAGCTATATATTAAAGAAAAATATGTACAACAAAAAACGACTTAAACAAATATTCTGCAAGGAAATAATTACTTGAAATTTAAAACAGAAACTTACAATTTTACTTACATTTAAATAAAATTGATTTCTGGTTTATTAATTCAACTTGTAAGTTTTAATTAAGAAAAAAGCGAATATGTTTTTTTCATACAAAATAATTGCGAAAGAACTGATTTTTATTCTTTCTTGGAAAATAAAATAACAATTTCAATTTGTTTCGATTTCTATAAGTGTATATATATATTTTTTCATAAACGCAATAAATATTGTTTATTACTAAATATAAGAAACGATGAACTTTGCGTGTTTTTGAGACGATTTGACAAAATAATATAATTAGGAAAATTACTGAAGCAAATAACAAAAAAAAAAAGAAATTTTTTTTTGTTTTGCTGTGTATATGTGAGGTACGAAGTGTTTAAACTACAGTCGTATAAAAAAAATTATACTCACACATGGCTAAACGGAAAAAAATGGAAGCAAACGTTATATGTACATCATTGGGCTATACAGAGATATTTGTTTTTAGCACTTGTGGAATGCCTGTCACCAACGCGATTCATCTTTGATCATGTATAAATATATAAATATGAGTTTTATTCAGGATATGTCAAGGAGATTCTAAAGGAAATCTTTTTTTTTTTCTTTTTTTTTTGCGAAATTTCGAAATTATTCTGAATCTACAACTTTCAAAGGGAATATTTACAATCGTGGTCTCTAAAAAAAATCTATTAATTCTACATTGAGAATAGAAAAAAAAATTCACTGTCAATGTTATTAAAAAAAAAATAATTGTCTCTAAAACAAAAATTTACTGTCATTGCCGTAAAGTAAAGAAACAAGAGCTCAATTCTTAAAACTAAGATGGAAGGTCTGATTAATTGCAATTTTATGCTATGTACAATTTTTCCATGAATGTATTCACTAACTTTGCCTATTATTCTAAGTTTCATTAAAAATAATTATAATAATAATAATAATAATAATAATAATAGAGAAATAAATTAAAGCTTTCTTTCGAAAAATCTTCTTTGATAATTACTGAATTCTTTTTTTTTCGAAACAAAAAATAATTACAATATACTTTCGTTCTGAATGAGAAAATTTGAAAAATTGAAGTGGTTACCCATAGACAGGCAAACCCACAGTGCTCAATACTATACTGCCTAATGAATTCTTGGTGTCTATAGTTTCTCAAAAAAAATTAAATTAAATTATAAAAAACACTGCAGAGAAATTATTTCGAGATCGCATTATATAAGTAGCATCGAGATCGAGCGCGAAATAAATCTAAACATTCACACCGACTTTGTCTTGTATTAAAAAAAAAATTCCCGTTTTTTTTTTCTTTTTTTAATTATCGAATTGACAAGAGAAGCATATTTGTAAATTTTTTCATTTTTGTTTTTACAAAACCACTTGTCTTATCTAAATTACAAAAAAAAAATCCAAATTCTAGAGCATGCAAGTTCCCTACGAGCAGTAAATAGTATTGTCATTAAAAAATATCAATCCGGAATATATATATATATATATATTTGGCAAGCGTGCTCGTTTGTCTGGAAGATCGAATTATTATTATTCTTCTTCTTCTAAACAGAGAGACGATAAAGCGAGAATTTTGATGGTGATCGGATATAGCTACGAGAATGCATTTCGCAATCCTTTCGAGCGCGCATCCCAAAATGAATAATTCTTACTAGAGCTCCATCCAAATTTGATCAATTTATCAATTGAATCCTTCGTCAATGAATGAGTTGTGTCATTATGATGATGAAAATCATTCAAGACATTGAATATTCGCGTTGCTGATGTTAAATGAAGTTTACTGATCGGTGAACTGAACATGAGTCGGCGGCTTTTTCTATTATTGAAATCGTTGTAATTCATCTTTTCATCATTTCTATAGGAACGATGATGATTATTTTCACTTTGTAATTGTTTTATTTTGCTGTTGGAGTAATATCGACAAAAATTCTTTGCCCGAGATCATTGTCGATACGCCTGCGGTGGAATTCCATTGCAGGGCGTCACATAGTCACCAATCATCAAACTTGGATTCACTGGATAATGCGAGGTATTACCAAGTACCAGCGATTGCTGGAAATTAACACCAAGCTGTAGAGTAAAAATCACGCAAGCAAACCAACTATTTAGTATCCACTTTTAATTACTACTATTATTATTCTTTTTTCTATTCCTAAAGTCGCGATTAATCGATTTCTTTTTTTTTAAAAAAAAAAGTTTATTGGATTTAGAAAACTTATTGAACTTACGGTGGCAGGTGAAGTGAACATATTTGGTGTAATTCCACCGCCAATTAATTGAGCTGCTTGTGTACTTGTAGCTGTTCCGACTCGTCCGCGTCCAGTACTTGAGATCAAACCGGGATGAATGTTTGGCTGTCCGCCTATTTTTTTTATATATAGGAAATATTGCATTTTAATAATCACGCGAAATTTTTTCAAAAAATACATATATAGGAATTTTTAAATATTAATAAAATGAGACACATTTAATGAAAGCCAGCAGCATTTCTTCGGCGAAAAATGATACACTTTTGCACACATAGAAATAAAAAAAAAAAATGCATTCAATATAATTTCTCTCAAGATAAATTCAAATTTTTAAATATATATAACTGTTGATGAAAATAGGGCTCATGATTATCTCTAACTATTCTACTTTAAAAAAAATGTTCTTGTTTTTTGTTCAATTTCATTTTTCTACTTAAAATTTTTCTCATTTGATAAAATTGGAAAAAATTCCTTTTTTTTTATCATTTTCGTCACACCTAATTTTTATTACCAATAATTATGAATAATTCGAATAGATCATATAAAATGATAGACGAATTAAAATTATAACAATTTTTTAATAAATTTTGTAAAATTCAATTCGAGGATACTGAGAATTTGGAAAAAAAATGGAAATCAATAACTAGGAAAACAAATAGTAGCCAAGGAAAGAATAAAAATCGAGGAAAAAAAATGATAAAAATTCACTTAAACATTCATTCGAATACAGTTTAATTAAAATCCAATTGAGTTTATAATCAACGAAAGTAGAATTCAAGAAATAACCATGCGGGCCCCATTTAAAAAAAAGAAAATTCGATAAAAAGCAAAATTTTGAATTTAAACAAAGAAAAAAAAATGAAAAACACTCAGATTATTCACGATGCAAAGCAAAGGGGCATTTTGAAATTTGAGGATTTAAAAACGCATTTACCTTCCCTAAATAATTCGTGGAGGTGTCTGGCATGCTCTAACGTCATTGACATTTTTCTTACGGTAATTTATTAACATCTAAAAGCAATTAAACTATTTTTTTTTTCCTATACAGTTTTCTGTTTTCGTTTCCTCTATTTGTATAAAGCGCCAATCCGATCACCATTAGAATCCGTCAGCTAGGGCCGAAATGTGCTGACCCCATTGGTATTTTGCATCGCAAATACCTTATATAATGAGAAAATTTTTTTTTTGTATATGTGTAAAATTTTTTTTCTTTTTTTTTTTTTGAAAAGAGAAAAAAAAAGAAAATAAAATAAAAAGGTATTTACATTGCAAACACATATAAGAAGATTTTTTTACACGTGCAAATCATCTTATAAATTCCATTCATTCTTACCAATTGCTAATAAATTTGAATTTACTCCTCCACTTGTATCCATTGATACTTCACCGAGACCATTAACAGACATTCCATTAACCATATTAACAGCTTGTCGTGCACCTTGAGCATCTAAACTTGTCCAATAAGATTCACTTGGCGATGTATTATTTAAACCCGGTGGTGGTTGAGCCGCAGCTCCCGTATACCTAAAGTAGGGATTTTTCAAATCTAAAGTGTTGCTGCTGCTTTCCATGTTTGTTCCCTCGACCTTTAGATCAATGGTCACATCGTAAGATTGTCTGTAAAAAAAAAATTAATTGCAACAATTAGAAATCTGAATTGTTTGAACACAATTTAAAGATTAAAGGGTATATATTACCTTTTATTAGCGACTAAAATAACTTTTCCTGAGAGTAATTGTCCACTTTTACAAAACAATGGATTCTCGAGTAAACAGCGAACCTGATACCAATGAGTCAATGGTTCCGTGGGTGCTGTACTCAGCCAAACTTGTTGTGTTGAACCAATGAATGCAACATCAAACCAAAATGCAAGGCCGTGGCAAGTGCCACTTTCTAGTATATGAAAATCGACATCTATTTCTAAAATAGAAAAAAAAGAGTAATTTATTAACAAAAGCTATTTAAATAAAAATATAATTGATAATAAGACAAAATTTAATTTTCAATAATCTTGGATAAATTAAAAATTAATTCAATCTTATTATTTTTAAATCTGTTTTATTTTTCTTACTCACCTATTTTATGTAAATCAGTCTCATCTGCTGTTTGGAAGTCTACAATGTGTCGGACAGATTTAGCCATGCAAATGCGAATGTCAAATGTATCAACAATAGGCTGTCTAAAATATTCTTTAATCGCATTATTCCTCATGGCAGACAAATCGACTCCATGAAAACATGTTTGACACCAAAAATTTGCTTTGTTAAATTGTTCCATATAAAGACTATCGTCCGAAAATGGAGCAATATGAAGATCTCCTCTTGACGGAAACATTCTGCCTCCTAAAAAAAAAGGAATTTAAATTATTTTTTTTTGTTACTAAAAGAATAAAGAAGCGAAATTCAGCTTCTCTTTGTTTTTTTTTACCTGGAATGAGCCACTTCTTTGCATGAAGATATGTCTCAAGCATACGCTCATTGTACAACATGTAACCCATTGGCTCGCTAACAATGCAATCAACGCGATCTGGTAGATCAATTTCCTCAATTTTGCCAGCAATCACGACAACCTTATCAGACAAATTGTTCGCTGCAACTAATAATTCAGCATGATTTGCCATATTACTCGCTTCAACGGCATAAACTTTCTTTGCACCAGCTTGCACGGCAAAGAATGATAATATCCCTGAACCAGCACCAACGTCTAATACTATTTTATCTTTAAAATCCGATATATTTCCAAGTATTGCCCGTTGATAGGTGCTGGTCCTCACATAATCCTGCATCATATTTTGTTGTTGCGATAGATATCCGTAAAATTGAAAATACTGCATTGCCGATGACTCTTCGGTTCTTTCGTTAAATGCTGATACTCCTTTTCCATTTTTGAGCTTTAAAATTTGAGAATGGAAATTTCGAAAGTCTGGAAACAGAAATTAAAATTTTTTTTTCATTAATTCTATAAACTAAATCAATTGGATTTTTTTTTTCTCAAATAATATTTGTTTACCTGTTTCACTGGCGAATGTTATTAATAAACTATCTGAATCTAGTGTAAATATATAGCTTCGATTTGACACTCGTGAACATTCTGTTGTGTGTGTTACTGGAAATTCCAGTAACGAATTTTGATCTTTATCAATATACTCTCCTAGAAAATAAAATATCTATATTTAAAATGTTAACATTTGATTACAAATTTTATTATTTAAAAAAAAAAATTAATTTAGATAATTCTTAATTTCAATGTTTTAAATTAAAAATTTCTTTAATAGTTAAAAATCGATTGTTATTTTACAATTTTAGTTTGAAGTCAATTTTAATTTCACTCATTAAGAAAAAATCAATTACAATTTCAGAGTGTTACAAAAAAAAAAAAAAAAAAAAGTTTCACCTCAGTCTCGAAGGTAAAATCTATTATGATTTTAAGGTCAAAAAGGAAATACTGAATTTGTAAATAAGGAAAACACAAATTCCATTATCATTGTGAATGTAATCCGCATTTCTTACGTAACTAGTCTCAATTGTAAGAATGTAGCTAATTAAAAGTTTAAAAATATTTTCTATATCTTTTTTTGTATTTTAAGAATTTTTCAAAATTAAAAATAATATTTCTCTATTTTTATATATCTTGGAGAATATTGAATGTCTTTTTATTACCAGAAATGGTAAAAAATATCTCGGGATAATATTAAATTTTCAATTTAAAGATGTTCATTTTCCGCTATTATTTCCATTCGTTTTGAAAAGATTTTTATTACAAAAATCATTCTTTAGAAATAAAAAAGCATTTTACTTTAAATGGCAACTATTAATTGTTACTATAAAGTATTTTTTAAATTAAAATAATTTTTATAATTGTGTTTTTGTAACTATCAAGGATAATTAGTAATGAGAATTATTGTTATTTTTCCATTAATTAGAAAAAATTTATTCAAATTTGCACTTGAAGGACATATTTTAATAGAAACATCATCCCTCTTAAATGACAATTCATTGGCACTGAAACTAAAATCAAAATCTGCTAAAAATATAATCGATTCCTTATTTCCTTGAATATTCTAAATTGCTGATGTTTCTCAAGCCAATTAATTTTTATCGATCAGCTGTTCCAAAGTCGCTGAAATTAAAAGCAAACATTTCTCCCAGAGAGAGATTTCTTCCCAAACTTTAACAGAAATTATCTTTTTTTTTTTTTTTTTGCAAAGTAATTAAGTGATTGGGGTTTTTTTTTATTTTGTGAAAAAAAAAATTCATTTCAGAAACTGTAGATTTGATTATCAGCCTTTGATGAATTGGAAATTTTGAATATACAATTGTTAGAATTTGAAAGAAATTGAAAGAGAAAAAAAAAGCTTGCAAACTTATAACAAAGCGAGCATCGTTAGCGTCTGGTAAAGTGTGGTTAGATCGCGTCTGGTTGGCGGTAATGATGATAATGGCAAGGTATTATCGATCGGAATTTATAACAACTAATGAATACCTGATACGAGCTCGATGCTGAGGCCCTGGGGATCATAATTAATCAAAAGCGTCACTGGCTTGTCGAATTTTGGTGTTGATTGTCCATTGTTTGACAAAGTCGACACTGTCACCGCGCGAAACACCTTCGCCATTTTTAGATACCGCGTGCGTTTTTGTGCGCTCCAGTCTTGTCAAGTCGGCGGCGATTATAATTAAAATCGTTTCCTTGTGTTTACGTTCTCCTTGTATCACGTAGACAGCTGACTCCTTTGTGAAAATTGAACACGACACTCCCAGTTGTGACGGGGCTGAGAAATGCCAATTAGAATTTTTCAACAAACGAGACAAAATCACGATGTCAGTCCCGCAGACACCGGATCGTCAACCAACCACCCCCGGTGAAATTTACACACGCGCACGTAGTAATGTCCCTTCCCCTCATAAAACGAGGTCTCTTCAATGAACGGAAGACCAATCCAGACAAAGAAAACGACAAGTTTTCATAGTTCCGATATTCAAAATGTGACAAATTTCGACAATCAAAAATGGTAAGTTGAAAATTTATTTTAAGGTTAGAATACCGATTATTATGTTGCATTTATTTGGGGAAAACACTTTAGTAATTAAACTTTTGATTTTTAATATTGTTTTAGAATAAAATATTCTAAAATTTACATTGTTGTTTCCCGCCTTCGTTTATTTTCGTCGGATTTCGTGTTTTTACATCTGACAACACTGTATTTATATATCATGTCAAGATTATCGAGTTTATAACCTATAAATTTGTTTTTATTTCTTTAAAAGTTGAACATTGTTGTTTAATTTTTATTCAATTCTTGGGGAAATTATTTAATTTAATTGTTATTGTTAGTAAAAATAAAATGATTCATAAAATGTAACAAAGAAGAGTTTGTGATTGGTGTATTTTACATGACCTCAATGCGCAACCAATCAGGAAATTAGTTTCAATTGGAAATCCGGATTAAAATGTAGTTTTAAAATGATATAAAAGTATTAAAAATGATTTCGTAAAATACGTTAATTTGATGAATGACAAGTGTATTGTAATTAATGGCAAACAAATTGATGAAAAGAATTTCAAATTTTTAAAGGTTAGTTTTCGCCCACTGACGCAAGTAACAAGTAAGCCACGTGGACAATTGTTTTCTTTTTTGTTTTCAAAATTCAAAAACTATTTTTTTTTACAAATTAACTGAAAATGAATGCGAAAAATTTAGAAAAAATCATGAAAATCAATAAAACGCGAAATAAATTAGGTGTGATTATTTTTCTAATATTCCTGATAACGAGTATTAGTTTGTTTATTTACTTGAATCGAGTGCATCCTTATTATTTTATCGATGAAGTTTTTCATATTCCACAAACTCAACGTTATTGTGAGGGAAAATTTGATAGTGTAAGTATTTTTTATTTTTTTAATTATTAATTTAAAAATGTGAATATTTGATTTATTCATGATTGATTTACAGTGGGATCCAAAAATTACAACACTTCCTGGTGTTTATTTGTTTACGACCATCATTCTAGCACCTTTTGGATTTTGTAATACAATTTTAATTCGTTCAACAAATTTAATTGCGACTTTTTTAAATTTCTTTTTAATTTATAATATATGTCGTTTAAAAAATTCTCATTCACAAAATTGGTGGATTAATCTTCTTAGCTCTTATAATATTGTTCTATTTCCGCCACTTTTTTTCTGGTTTTTTTTATATTATACAGATGTTTTCTCGATGACAATAATTTTGACAATGTATTTATTACACTTGCGAGGAAATATTAAATCCGCTGCATTTGCAGGTAAAGTAAATTATTGTCTTTTCTTTAAAAAAAAAACAATTTAAAAATGTTAAAATATTTCTAAAGATTGAAATTTTAATTAGAGCGTATTTTTTATATTTTTAATTATTCTTTTTTTTTTGCAGGTATAATTTCCGTATTCGTGAGGCAAACAAATATAATTTGGGTTATTTTAATCACTATTGAAGATGGTTTAAATTTTGTTGAATTAAAAGCACGAAAACCTCTATCGCGTGATGTACGCAATTCACCGAAATATGTGCAGGTATTTATAATTAGGGAATTTTATTTATTTTTTTATTCGATTCTAATTGTTCTTAATGCAACAATTTTTAAGATAAATTAGAAAAAAATTTTGGTTTTGTTATAATTTTTTTTTTTTCGATTTTTTCTTTTATATTTGGAAATATATTCCTCCTGTATAATAAAACTGAAGAGTTGTCGAGCCCACGAATTTTTTCAACTTAAAGTAAAATTCAAAAAGTGATAATAATTTAAAAACTTTTTTTTTCCAGTGGCTCTTGGATATCATAAATGCACAAGTTCGAAGAGGTCTATTGTCATTTCTAAAGTTCAGTATGGAAATCTTCTCAGCCTTGACTCCATATATTATAGTTGGAATACTTTTTCTGGCTTTTATTGTCTGGAATGGTGGTATCGTTGTTGGAGATCGTACAGCTCACGTTCCAACAATTCACGTGCCACAGTTCTTTTATTTTTTTAGTTTTACATTTTGTTTTGCCTGGCCCTATATACTACCATATTGGAAAGTATTTCTTCGTGATTCACTTGAACATTGGATTATGTCCAGTTTTATTTTTTCTCTTTTATTGATGATAATTCATTCAAATACATTGGTTCATCCATATGTTTTGGCCGATAATCGACATTATATTTTTTATTTTTGGAATTATTTTATGGGACGTTATTCTTTTTTTAAATATTTACCAATTCCTTTTTATGGTTTTTGTTTGTATGGATTTTTTAAATGTCCATTTCATATGAGTTTTATGAGTCGAATTGTATTTTTAGTTTGTACTTGTGTTGTTCTTGTTCCTCAATTGTTGCTTGAACCGCGATATTTTATTGTTCCTTATATTCTATTTCGATTAAATATCCAAAATATTCGTACTTGGCAAATTATTCTCGAAACTGTGACAACGTTATTGATTAATTTTCTTCAGTTCTATATTTTTGTTAATAAAGTTTTCTACTGGCAGGATCAGGAACATCCGCAGAGAATTTCTTGGTGATTTCAGATTTATAATGTAAGAAAAAGGTGTGATTGTAAATGTAAATATTTTCTTTTGTAATAAAACTTTGTTGAATATAAGAAAAATGTTTTATTTTTGATACAGGAATTTTGGTTTAAGGATTAATTAACGAGAATTTACATTCATTACTAAGCAAAGTTCTATGATTTATTCTTTTTTTTACATCTTATAAAGAAGTCTTAAATATAATTTAAATCTAGCATTACTCAGTGTGTAAGTATTTTCTATCATCGCAGCACTCGTTTCAACATATAAGTATAATACATTTATGATACACGTTTCGAAATTGATATTTTCATGATTTTTTCTTTTCGCTTCTGATCTTTTCAAAAACGCCCAATTTTTTTTTTCTTTACAAATTAATACTTTAAATAATTATTACCTATTTATTAAAATTTTCTGAAATAATTTTTTTTATTATTTATATGATGATAAAAAATTTTTAAAGAAAATTTTATTTTGCACTTTGAATTTGTCAATTTTTAATATTATCAGGTTGTGACAAATTTTGACTACTAAAAAAATATAATTTACATTATTTAACATAAAAAATTTAATTTTTATGTAAATAATTTATAATAAATTAATGATCGTTCTGAATTTTTAATTAATTTTTTTTTAAATCCAACTTTCTCACTTATAAATTCCTAACTCTTAAAATGCTAGAAGCATATTCGCAGTCTGTGTTAAAATGACATTTGTACAAAAACAATTTTTTTTAGTTAAAAATTATAATTTTCAAGATTCTAGACTTTTCTCGCAAAAATAATAATAATGCACTTAATTTTAATCAAATATGATTAACATTTTGTTAAAGGCGGCTTCTATCTATAATTTTGTTTAACATTATTATGGCTTGATATTTTATGCAGGATTTATTTTTCGTTTTAAGAAAAATGTATAGCATTAGCGAAGAAAATGGGAAAAATTTAGAAAAAGGAGAGAGATAGAGAGAGAGAGAGAGAGGATAAAGAGATAAAAATTTCAAAGCATTTTTTTAAACCCTAATTTTCATAATATTCAGTTAATTAGAAAGTGTGTTTTTTTTCTACATATTTGGAACAAGAGAAGAGTAAATTTTTCTAAAAACTGAAAAAATGCTTTTCGTCTCCAATTTTTACAATGTACAGTTTTCCCTTATAGATTTTCATTATTATAAATAAAAGCTTTCTCTCTACTTCTTGGAAATATATAAGAAAGGTATAAATAAAATTACATCTAAACTGTACAATTAAATTTCGTGCATAAAATTCAGATGAGCACGAAATATTTTCTTTGAAAATATATAATATATTATTCTTGACGTCAATTTATAAAACAAGACTTTGTCCAGTATATAAAATTTTTTCAAAGAGCAAAAAAACTTGAAAAATAAATTAACGGATCATTTTTTGTTATTAATGTTATTAATTAGTTAATTAAATAATAAATTTAATTAATTAATAATTGATTAATTGAACAGATAATTATCCATTAATTAAATTTTTTTTCACTGATTAATCATTAAATTTATTATTTAATCAATAATCAACTTGAAAATTGAATTAATTATCAATGATAATAATTTTTTTTTTAAATTTTATTTACTTTGAAAATACTGGAAAGAGTGAATAATACTGCTTTGCAGGAAGATTGGAGAATAAAAATAAAAAAAATAAAAAAAAATTTCCAAGCTCTTTACGTTGCTTCGTTCCACAGCCTCTTATTTCTAATTAATTGTCAATATTTTACCTACGTATATAATTATAAGAGATTAACATCTTATAAATAAATAATATGGCTTATATAATATGCATTTTTATAATACAATAATTTGAACGTAAATGTTGTTTATAGAAATAAATATTAGGTATATTAATTTTTATTAATGAAAAGACTCAACAATTAGACCATGAGGATTTCTAGATTTATCACTAAAGCGTGATGTTTTACAATTATTGGTCATTGTTCATCATTTTAAAAAGAGTCTATTTGATAAACTGTCTTTTATGATAATAGAGCAATATAATTATTACGCTTGGAGACAAAAAATTAATCAATCTGACAAAATAGTTGAATATTAATTAATTAAATTTAATTTTTTATTCCATTATTTTATTTTTACTATAATCAATTTTGTAAATTTTTTTCTAATTAAATATTAATTGTTAAAATTCAACTTTATAATGTCAAATTGAATAATTCTTTTCTCATTGTGATATTATTGTATATAATTGGAAAACTTACGATCCTATCTAATTTTTCTTTGCAAAAATCTACTTTTACCTCAGTCCTAATAATAGAAACAAGACATAATATCATTCTCTGCATATTTGATTATGTTATAATTAGCACCAATAATTTAATTGTTTTTTCTTTTTAGTTTCAGATTTTTGTGATGATGTGAGCAGGAAAGAAATATATCGTTTCTAAAATTAAGGACTAGGACTGATTTTATGCAGGAACGGACTCGCAGCTTATATAGGAACTCAAGGTAAGTACCTAATTAAAATTAAATTAATATATTACAATTAAGAAATGTGCATAAAAAAAAAAAATATATGGTGAACCAAAAGTTCTGAACGTTCAAATGAACGAAATATTTTTTTTAAATCTATAAATTATTAAAAATTATGATGGCAATTTAAAATAAAACAGTAAATTAAACAATTATTAAATTAATAACTTCTTTTTAGATATTTAAAACAATATTTTGTAATAAAATTCTTATTTAAAGAAGCTGTAAAAAAAATTTCGTTCATTTAAACGTTCAAAACTTTTGCCTCATAAAATATGTGAGCCAGAGAAACAAATGTTCGAGCAGTGTAGCAAAATGTTTTTTCTCTATTAAGAGAATCAATGGATATTTAATCTAAGCCTCAGAACACTCCTTTTCTTTTTATAGAAACTAACAGTCTTTCTCAATAAAATAATAACAAGAGTATTTTAAGTCTTATTATAAGACTGTGAAAACACTCATTTCAACAAACAGTATTTAACGATAAATTATTATTATTATTATTATTATTATTAAATACGAAGGATTATTAGCCTTCTATTATGTCCGTCCCTGCAATTAAATAATTATCATTGAAAAAATTTAAGATGGTCCATCGATAATAATCATTCTCAAAAGTTAATAATCATAAATCGATTCATAAAAATTTAATGTAATTCAACAGAATTGAAATTTATTTTAAAATTTTAATATTTTGTTAAATACGTATATTAAAAAAAAAAAAAATAATATTTTGATAAATTTTTTTTGTAGAAAAATAAAATTTCCTTCTTTAATATATATTATTTAGAAATAAAAAATATTTCAATAATACAATTATTTAATAAAGAATATATATACGATTTTAATTACCCTTAATTTTTGTCAACGATTATAATTAGTGGACAATCTTAAAGCCAACGATTCAGAAATACCAACATTGCAAACTGATATTTTTCTTCTTTTATTAATAATCGCCCAGTATTCTCCAATTTTTTTTTTCTTTTTCTCCTCGAGAAAAATTATTTTCAGGCACAGAATCATATGATTTAGCCACAAAATCTCGTTCATGAATTATTATTGATCCATATATATATATAAATATAAATATAAATAATTATAATTAGGTACTGAAGACAAATGTGAATTAATAATAATAATTATTATTGTTCCTTTGAGTTTTTGTATGTTTGTTTGGATCGTAATTTTTGATATCATACAATTTGTTGTTTAAGTTTAACGAGATTTGTTGAGCGATAACGATTCATATTTAGTGGTGCACTACGATCATTTTTTTTTGTTTGCGTATGCCATGTAAGTATTTTTGTGCAATTATCGGCTAAAAGTTCTATCTCTTTGGGTTCAAATGGCGCAAGACTTTTGAGAAAACCATCCTCCTCGAAGCCAGCCTTGTAGGGCATCGAGGCATTTGGCCTTTGCAAAAGAAATTTAATATTTACTGCAAATCCAGCCATGTCAACGGGAAATGTACGTCCCGCAATCCAACCATCGTAAAAGCCTTGAAATTTTCCATCTTTCACAATTGGTGAACTTAAACCATATTTCGTGCAAAGGCCCACAGGAAACATTGATACTTTTTTTGTTTTTCTTATCTGAAAAAAATGACAATTTTTTTTTTTTTAATTAAAATAGTAAATATTTTGAAAGAAATAATTTATTTTTTCCCATAAAAAACGTACCTCGTCAAAAAGAGCAATGTCATAGGTATTATCATCATCGGCGAAATAAAGAATTCCTTCTGTTGCATTTGCACGCACCCATTGTAGACCTCGATTTCGATTAGAAACCCCTCGTGGCTTTGCTCCTTTATTCTGCTTGTACTTCTCAGGCATTGGGGCTGTAATTTTAAGATTTCTTAAACTCATTTCATATTTTCATTATCAAAGGGATGTCATTTTTTTTTCTATTTATATAGAGGAAGTAATTGTTACGCCACTGGAGTTATTTAAAACAAAGAATTCATTAAAATTTATATAAAAGATTATAATTAAAATTGTTTTTTTTTTTTATTTTCAAATTATATACAAAGAAAATATACACGATAATTTATAATGAAAATTTAATTATATGTCATTAAAATACATGTGACATTTCATTTTATCGCTGATGTGAATTAAAAGGCATTTTTGTTACTTTATTTTTACTTTTTTAATATATATACAAAATATATGTGTATATAATATATGAATATTACATAAAGTGTCAATCATAATTAAAAATAATTTTTCACTTTATGCAATAATGAAGTTGGATTTTGTAAACATTTGGAAAACGAAAAACTGAATGGCTGAATTATTAATTGGATTATTGATTTTTATTTAAATTATTAATTTTTTTATTTAAAGCTCGAAATCAATAAAGAATTAGTCCGGAGAAAAATTTAAAGGAAAAAAAATAAATCAATTTAAGGAAAGTCTTCTTTAAGTATAGAAATTAATTAGAATAAAAGGCGCAGGTTTGGAATTAGTAGAGACAACAAAAAAATTAAAATAAATACTCTTATTCTTAGAAATCAACTCGAAAAATCAGTCCAGTTTGTTATAGAAATTAGTTCGGTTTAATTATCTTGGTTGAAAATCTATTACAAAATCAGTAAAAAAATAAGTTCGCTATAGTTAGGAATTATTTAGGACAAAACGGAATATTAAAATTGAGTCCGGATTAGTTCTGAATATGTCCGAAATAGAAAAATCAGTCTACGTATTTTAGGAATTAATTATAGAAGAAAAAATAAATATAAAACGAGTTCAAAAATCAGTATGTATTCGTTCGGAATTATATTACAAGTTTAATATAGAATTAGCCCGGTTAGAAATCTATTTTGAAATCAGTCAAAAATCAGTTCGCTTTAGTTATAGGATTTATTCAGGACAAAACGGAATATTTAAAATGATTCCGGATTAGACCTGAATTTGTCCGGATAAAGAAATAAATAAAAAATGAGTACAACATTTTTAGAAATCAATCCAAAATTAGTTCGTATTTGTTAGAAATTAGTCATAAAACAAGATAAATCTGAAACGACTTTGAAAACAATTTGAAAATCAGTACACCTTCGTGCGGGATCAGTTTGCGATTAATTTGGAATTAGCTAGGTCAAAAGTGTAATCCGAAATTAGTTAAGAGGTCAGTCCGCATTAGTTCTGAATATGTCCGAACAAAAAAAAAAAAAAAAAAAAATAGAAAAGGAGTTGGAAATTAATTTTGAATTCGTACGAACAAGAACAATTGGAAATTAATACGAAATTACGCGTCTATCAGGATTTATTTATTATAGAAAGCAAATTTTAGAACGAGTCCGGAATCAGTTTGAAAATCAGTACAGATTCGTTAGGAATAAATATATGGTTTGATCTGAAATTAGCTCGGGCGTAAAATTAAAGCCGAAATCAAACTTTAGTTCGTTCTACTCAATATTTATTCAGAACAATAATACGGAATATTCCAAAAGAGCCTGCATTAGTTCTGAATTTTTCCGTATAAAGAAAACAAATAGAAAATGAGTTCGAAATTAGTGTGAATAAAAGAAAAATTTAAAAGATGTACGAAATTTTTAGAAATCAACCCGAAATCAGTTTGCATTAGTTCAATTTGAAATTTTAACGAGATTTCAGAAATGCTTTTAAACTTTAACATATTCCAGAAATAGTAACTGCCTAAATAATCTAATTTTACTTTTAATTATATTGTTTTCGAGCTATTCTATTTTTCGTATTCTAAATGTTGCAAATCTATTATTAGCAGCACGATTGAAGAATAAAAGTTTTGTTTTTAGCTTACTAAAAAAAAAAAAAAATTAAATAAGGAAATTTTTTTTTTTTTTTTTGAGATACTTACCAACTAAATGAATAAATTTAAGACCAGTTCTTTTAAGTAATGTGGTGACCTGTGGTGTAGTAACAGTTGCATCTTCAATAACCAACCAGATGACATTTTTAACTAGCATCAAAGTATGTGACATCCTTGTAAGTTCAGCTATTTGTTCTGGTCGTCGATAAGTTGGTGTTACAATATAAAGTGGGTCTAAAGATTCATCGGATTGTTGATAGACATTTTTGACAGTTGTTTCTTGATGATTTGCGAGGCCATTATTTTTACTTATTAATAATTGATTAATAAATTCCTGTCTAAGTTGTTTTGCCAAATCTGGACTGAGGCCATAATTTTTTTGCACTGTCCCTACTACTGTACGAATCTAAAAAAAAAAGAACAACAAAAATTTTACTTTATAAATGTAATATATTCAAGGATTTTTAATTCTGAAGTTCAAATTGAACACAAAAGGAGGGCAAACAGAGTAGTTTCAATCACATGTGGTAGATTTTAATTAAGTGTTCAGTACAATAGAAGTTATTGTTAGTGGTCTTATATTTAGCAATAATTGGAGAAATATAACAAAATATATGTAATCAGGAAATTATCAATAGCTTAAAATAATAATAATAATAATAATAATAATAATAATAATAATAATAATAATAATAATAATAATAATAATAATAATAATAATAATAATAATAATAATAATAATAATTAATGATCAGCTTTCATTATTGTTTTTAAATTAAAATCAAATATGAAATGAAATTGCAACTTTTAAAATATTCACATACTTTTATTTTTGTGATATTTTTGTTTTAACAAATATAAATATTAAATAAAATTTTTAAAAACAAGTTTATTGTTTCAGTTTATATAGTAAATTTATTTTTGTAACGCAATAAAGTTTACAAATAAAAAATGATAATATATATATATATATATGAACAAATATTCCAATTTTGCTATAAAGTTGCATATATGTATAATCAATCCAAAACTGGTTTGAAATGCATCAAATATTCGAATGATTTCGCTTTGAATATTAGTGTTTCGTATATAGAATTTCAAATTGACACATTCATGCGAAAATTATTTTAGGATATAGAATTTATAACGCACTGAAAATATTAGTTTTATATGCTATCGATATTACATTTGATATGTTCTTGTTTATGAAGTTACACTTTATTATTTAATTTATTTATTTAGTCATTTGAAACTTTATTAATAAATAATTTTATTTTTTTTTAATTTTCACGTACGAAATTTTTTTTTTTTGCATTTATCATACTTTATTTAGCTGAATTTAACATTTTTTTTTGGTAAAGTTTTCAAAATTATTGTTATTATTTTTTTTTAATTCTAATATTTATTTCAAAAGTATAACGTAAAAAAAAATATTATAAAGTTTAATATATATTTTCCAGATACATCTAGTTGAAATTTATAAAAAAATAGTATAAATTTAATGGGTCACCTAGGTCGGTGAAGTTCACATCGATTACGATAATCAAAATTTTAAAAACAAAGATACTGCATAAACACAACAAAACTATAATAAAATAATTAAGTTCAAAGATAAATTCAATAGACAAACACCCATAATGTAATCCCCTACATTGACATTTTTGGAAAAAAAAATTGAAATTTCATTACATACACAATTATATTAGAATTTCTTACACAAAATAAACTTAAAAGTGTAGAAAAAAATTGGGAGCCCGATCCGAGTAGAGAAAGATCCCTATTACCACCTTTAAAGAACTTTTCGTCATAAAAAACTTTCCAAAAAAATTTAATTTTTCTTAGGCAGACTTTTTTAATGCAATTTCTTGCACAAAATACACCTAATAGTGTAGAAAAAAATTGACACCGTGATACAAGTAGGGGAAGATCCCTATTACTATTTTTTGTTTTGTTTATGCAGTACCTTGGCTTTTAATATTTTGATGACCGTAATCGATGTGAACTTCACCAACCTGGTCACATTTAATCGTATAGTTTAGGACACCAGTAAAATTGAAAGATTTTAACTCCTCCCGTGGCTATAATTGACCTGCGTCCCTTAGTGTCTCGCGTTTAAATTAAGAGGAAGCACGTATTTTTATTGCAGTTTTGGAAGAGTGTTTCAATATTTTTATATTGTACTAAATAATAATTTTGTTTTATATTTTGTTTCAGTTCCGTGTGTGTTCGAGTATTTTAAAATCGCGATCGTTTAAAAATCAGGGAAAATATTTTATTTCAAAACTTTAATTTCGGGAGTATTCGAATATTCTAAAATCGCGATCGTTTAAAAATCAGGGAAAAGTATTTTGTTTTTGATTAAAAAATTTTGTTTTTAATTCCGGGAGTGTTCGATTATTTTAAAATCGCGATCGATTTAAAAACAGGAAAAGTATTTTATTTTATTTTTATTTTCAAAATTTCTTTAATTTCGGGAGTGTTCGAATAGTGATAAAAAAAAAGTCACAGAAAAGTTCCAGGATGTGAAAATCGCCAATCAGAAGCAACTGAGTGGTATGTAGTTTTTTTTTGTTTTTTTGTAATTTTAAATAATTATTGGTAAATAATTTTTTACTCTTTTATGTGATTAAATTTAAATAAAAATCAATTTTGCTCTTATTTTATTAATCGTCAGTTAGATGAAATATTAAATAATTAAATTGACACTTTAAATTTTTTCATATGCAAAGTTTATCGTTTGCAGTAATAATCAATTTATTATTATAATTGAATAATGTCCTTGACTCATTAATACAGTCAATAAAAATTTATTCACGTTTTTTCACATCAATTTTTCAATAGTTTCATTGATGAAAAAAAAAGTTTTGTTTTTATTTAGAGGAGTTATTTTAAAATTTACCTTTTAAACACTGACTTATTTTCAATTTCCATGCAACCAATTTTTTTTTTTTTTTTTTTTTGAAATTCCACTTGAAAGAATATTCGATTTTTGGGAATAAATGATAAATTATCGAAAATGTAGTGGAATAATTGTTTTTTTTTATCTTTAAAAATTTGATATAAAAGAGATTTTTGTATTTCAAATGATTGAACTTTATATAAAAACAATCAGTTTTTTCTTTATCACACACTCGTATTTTTTTTTTTTTTCATTGAAAAGTTTCTTTTCTCTCGTATAGGTATTGTTGTAGATATGGGTTTAAATTGAAAGTTGAACAAAAAAAAAAGGGGGGTGAGGTATTGCTCGGATATTAGCTACTAGCAACTCTCGTGTCGTAACACAATATTGAAATTGGAAAAAGTTCGATTCTCTCACCATTTCCTCTGTGATTCTGGCTTCAAACTCTTCTCCAGTTTGTAGATTGGATGAATCGTCCAGTGGAGAGGTGAAGCCTGTTACTTGATCTAGTCTCACTCTCATTGAAAGATGGTACTGGTAGAATATCAAACATATTCCCACCAATGCAAGCATACCCACCTTCATGGACGGATTCATCTTCCTCTGCATATCTGTTGAGAAAAAATTTATATATATATAAAAATTGTTTGAAATTTTCAATATTTTCTCAAATTTTTCAAAATTAGATTTCTTTTCTATTAGAGAAAAAGCTGTTTTAGTCTGAAATTAGGAAATTTATTTCTTTATGGAAATTATAGTGATTATCCTTAAAGACACTCTCTTCAAAAAGACAAAGTTATCGAAAAATTATTTATTCGTCAGAAATAATTTGTTTTTTTTTTTTTTTAAATGATAACTTATTCTTACGAATATCACGAGTGATAAATTTTTAAAATATCATTTTTGACACTTATACATTGTTGATAATTAAAATTTCATAAATTTGCTTTATCCAAGAGATAAATTATTTTCAAATTAAAACACGTTTTTTAAATATTGTTTAATTTTTGAAACCTGATTAACTCATGAAGGTCGCAACGTTTTTATAAATGAAAACGAAAAAATAATTGACGATATGTATTACTTTGGCTTAAAATTAAAATTAATCGGGGGTAATTGACTTTTATAAAAGTATATTAATTTCGTTAAAAAAAAAAAAATTAGAGATAAATGGAACTTTTTAGATTTGGAATTTTTCTGAAAAAATTTTACAATTTTTTTGAATTGCTTTTTTTCTGAATTTTACAATATTTTTACAAATTGAAAAATTTTTCCCTTATTAGTCAAATGATTTTTTTTTCTCAAAAAATGAGACTTAATATAAAATCTAATTTTCTCAGATGAATATAAAATATTATATATATATAGCTGATCAATTTTTGATATTTGACATCAATTTGTATATGAAAATGAAAATATTGACAAGGGTATATATGTATATGATTTTTATGAAAATGTCAATGCAACGTGTGTGTTTGTGAAGCTGACAAACATGGTATCAGCGAATTTCGTGCTGGAATGTCGGTTCGCATGCTTCGTCGAATATTTCCGACGCGCATTCAAAGGTCTCTAACGACGTGATTTCAAACCATATAGCTGCGGAAGTAAATTTACCATTACGACTAAGATGATTTACATTAATGTATTTTTATCATTAATCCGATTTATGCTTTTATATAATTTCTTCTATATATATATATCAATCTTTATGTATAGCGAAGGTTTTGTTAAAATTAATATAAAAAATTAGTTTCTTCCAAAATAATTTTTTTTTTCACTGAAATAACTGTAGTATCAAAATAGTTTCAAAAGATAATTTTAATCCAGAGCTGAAATCATGTTTCAAAAAAATTTACAGAAAAAAATTAAACATTTAATTACATCAAAAAATAATTTTAAATTTAAATAATTTTGAATTCTGGTAGTTTTTAATAATGTAAAATTAATAAAAAAAACTCGGATAAATGCGAGATGCAACAGAAACCTAGGGTTGCATAGTTGTGAAATCTTTGGTGTGTAATTTTTTTTTCTTTAGTAGTGATTAGATATAGTCGTTACCAATGGTTGTAGAAATCATTGGTAACTTTTGCTTGTAGTTTAGTTGTTACTAATGGTTGTGAAATTATTGGTAACTTTTGCTTGTAGTTTTAGTTGTTACCAATGGTTGTAAAATTTTTGGTAATTTTAGCTTGTAGTTTTAGTTGTTAGTAATGGTTGTGAAATTTTTGGTAATTTTAGCTTGTAGTTTTAGTTGTTAGTAATGGTTGTGAAATTTTTGGTAATTTTAGCTTGTAGTTTTAGTTGTTAGTAATGGTTGTGAAATCATTGGTAATTTTTGCTTGTAGTTTTAATTGTTACCAATGGTTAGAAAATCATTGGTAACATTTTTATTTTTTTCTTTAGTTGTTCTTTATTGAAGTGGTTTTTTTTTTAAATTTATGTTTGTATTTCAAATAAATTTAACTAGTGTATGGAACCCTAAGTTTTAGTTACGAGTTGTATTCACACTTGTCCGATTTAAAAAAAAATAAAAACTATTCATTTTTCTCTTCTTCTTCATATTTCTTTTTTTAAATTGAATGATTCTTAATTTAACCAGATGGAAAATGACTGTAAATTGAACACTTGACTTTTATCAGGAAACTGCAATGTGAATTTTCTTTTTTTTTCATCATATGGAAAAGTTGTATGCGAAGAAGAAGTGCTTGAAAAAAAATTTTTTTTTTCCTAGTTTTTTGCTATATAGATTTTATTATATGATTGGATTTTATGTGAATTGGCGTGATTCCTATCGTGCTTTAATTCGTTTGGCAATAAAAGGACTGTAGCGGTTAGTATTTTTGGGGTGTTTTTAGCCACTGGATCGATGTATCGTGAAATTGAATTCTCCGAATTAACGGTGCTTACTTTCATGTCGTGTGTTTTTTTTTGGGTATTTTTTTTATCGGAGCTTTCAAGGATGGTTTGATATTAATTTTATTTGTTGGAAAGCACGTTCAAATTGAACTCGAAAGGCTCTCTTTTTTTCATAGGTAACAACGACTAGTATTCAATATTTTATCTATCATTTCTTTTTTTTTTTCCTTTTACATTCATCAATATTTTTGTATATTCATCATTCGGTGTTGTATTTCAATCTCGACGAATGTTTTCTATTTTTTTTTTTTTTTATGTATGTATGAATTTTTCGTGCTTTGTAGAAACAGGAGTTTAGTGGGCAAAAATTTCAAACAAGATTATTAAATTTATTTTTCGATAAAAAATTTTTTTTTCTTTTTTTGAAATATTTAAATTAATTTAGAAATTATTTCGTGAAATGATGTAAATCGAAAAGTTTGTGAATCTTGAATGGGATATTGTATATTTTTCAATATTCAAGTAAAGTACGAAACGTTTATTTAAATAATTGTTTACCTTGAATTTAAATCTGTTGGTATTGTTGCAGAATCATTGCTTCATACATCTTCAGAGTTTTAGTATTTTTTCGCAGAGTTTTTTTTTTCTTGTTTTTTATTCTGGATTTTCTGTATGATAAATAAGACTTGTTTGGTCAATACGATTCAGTGAAGCACATTTTGAAACTGATTTTAAATATTTTCTTCACAAGGAGTGGAATTTTCTTCTATTTTTCTCGATTATTCCACCTCTTTTTTCATATATATACGGGTATGCATTTTACGTCACAGATCAAAAGAATGTTTCCATATCAATCAAATTAATTCGAGATTTAAGAAACATAAAACGATATCGTAAAATTAGAAATGTTCTTTAGAAATTAATAAAAATGTACACTGATTAAATGCGATTTAATTGACTCATTATTGATAGGGATAAAATTTAGAATTATTTAGTAAAGTTTGAAACATTTTTTAGAAATTTTTTTTTTTTTTTTTTTTTTTGTTTTCTAAAATTCTATTTTTTGTGAACACAAAAATCAACATTCAATTTGGCATTTTATATATAACTACTATTTTTAAGAGAGAAAGAGACAGAGAGAGAATTTAAATATTATATGAAAATACCTGCAGAGTTATTTTGAAATGTGGTTCTTTTTAGAAAATGTGAATATTTTTCAATAAAATCGTTTGAATGATTTAAATAATTGAATTTTATATATAGGATTTTGACATGACATATATTGGAAAATTCCCAAAATATACATAATGACAATACAAGCAATTTATAGACTGAAAAACGAAAATACTTGATTCAAATAATCGGTTATATGACTATTATAAAATAAATATTTACTTCCATTAAATAATTATTATTTGGTATTTGCATTTGTATACCATTAAATGGTATATTTGTATCAAAAACAAAAATTATTGGTTCAAATGCAGTTTATTTAATTCAAATAAAATTTATTTGATAATAGTCAAATCAACTGATTATTAGAATCAAATAAAATTTTTCAGTGTATATAGTATTAATATTCTCTATAATGTGTAATTAAAAAACGATTGAATGATTTTTTTTATATACGTTAAAAAAAAGTAGTGTTATTGTGCTTATTAATATTTATCGTGTTTAAAATACTATTAGCAATTTCGTTTCCATCGTGTTTGACTCGGTTGCTATAGCGTTAAGCGAGCCCTTGTTTTACACATTATCGACTAAAGAAAAAGGATAGAAGGATTTCTGCAGAAGACGTTTTCTTACATTTTACTTAATTAGCATCGTTTCATTTTTAAACGCGGTTTTAAACTTTTTTCTTGTATTTGTAAAATTACAAACTTTTCTTTAGTCAATTTCAGATGAAAGTTTAAATACCAGTAATTGGATTTTATATAATAATTATTTTTATTAATTTCATGTTTTTTTTTTTTTTTTTTTATTTTAAATATTAAACGAAATTTCATGTTGATCATTTTCTTGATTTTTCTTCATCATTTCTATTGTTATCGATCTAGTGATTAGTTCATATTGATTGTTTTTCCTTTCATTAATCCATTTTGTTATTTTGGTTTTTGTTTTTGATCTGATTTTTTATTTTGTTGGTCATTTTTATAATCGTTGTTTATTTTATTTATCGCTGAATATTTCATTTATTGATCCTTTTTAATTTTTGATCCATGAATTTAAGTATACTTTATAGATCCATATAATAAATCATTTTATTTATAAACACTAATTCTCGATTGATAAGTATAAATAAATTGATGATTTATATTGATCTATAGATTGTATCGTTTAATTAATTTTAGATAGATCATTTTATAAAAAAATAACTTGATTCAAATAATCGGTTATTTGATTATTATTAAATAAATATTTACTGGATATAAATAATTTTTATTTGAATCAATTAAATGGTATTTGGTTTTAAATACAAAAAATTATTGATTCAAATACAGTTTATTTAATTCAATTATTTGGTTCAAGTAAATATTTATTTGATAATAATCAAGTAAACAATTATTTGAATCAAATAAATTTGTTTTTTCAGTGTAATAATAATAATAATTACTGGATTTGATTATTTAAAGAAAAATATTTTGGAAAAATAATTTTTTAGAAATAAATGCATTGAATAAATATAAAAAATGTTTTCCAACAAATTCCTTTTTTTCACGTTGTGTCAGTGGGTCATAATGTGGATAATTGCTTATGGAAATATGAATATTTTTATTTGAGAAAATATATGTGAATTTAAATGACCTTAAAATGTAATGATTCAATGCATTATAGTGCACCTTGTGAACATATATGCCTATATATATATATATATATATATATATATATATGTATGTATACTTCAATCAGATAATCCTCCATATGTTACTGTCATATATTCTATATATAGTATATGCTCTATATGAATAATCGTTGTAGTTGGTTAGAAACAGAAACACCATTGCCAACTGATTTCCCAATTAACATAATGATAATAGTTCATTGTCAAACTCTATTGTATTTTGATAGAGCCAACTAAATTATTTCCTTATCACTGTACCAGAATTTGATTCATGTAAACTGAAGGATTATTCGTGTTTTAAAAAGAAAAAAAAAGCAATTATACTTGAAACATAATTTTCCAATAAATAAATTGTAAATCTTCTTATATTCGGGTCAATTAATTAAAATTATTTTTTTTTTATCTCATTATTATATAAAGTAATAGGCCTGGTCTGAATAGAACTCATTTTTCAAAGAGCAGATAAAGTTTAATATAAAATGTATAGTAGCAAGGGAATAATGTTTAAAAAGGGGGGGGGGGAAATAAGGATCCATATTGTTCCTTTGAAGAAGAATAATAGTATTGCATTACAATGCGCACATATATCCGATACTTTGATATTGATCAAAGGGTAAAAGCATGAATCTCAAAATCCTATCAACCATATTGAATCTACATAATATACGAGATGCAGTTTTCAATTTTAATATAAAAAAAAATATAGATATTTTGAAAATAAAAAATAAAAATTAGGAATTTGTTGAATTTGAATTTTAATTCAATGCATTCGGGGAAAAAAAATTAATCGAAAAATAATTATTATTATGATATTTTAATTTTTTTTTATTGAAACGAATTGATATTCAAAATTTTGTCTAACTTTTGGAATTATTTAATTTAAAAAAAAAATTGAATTGTCTTTTTGAATGACGAAATTTAATGAACTTACCGAAATACTATATATGATGAAATTTTCGTCGATGCCTGTGTCCCTCCAACTGATTATGTCCTTTGCCCTGTAACACAAAATAACCATAAATTTTTCAAAAAAAAAAAAAAAAAATTTTATTTATTTCTATATTTTCAAAAATAAGAACTTTCAATAAGAAACTTCATCCATTTGATTTCAGAATACAAAAGCGACTAAATTTTAGAACTTTTATATGAGCTTCTTGTTTTTCGATAAAAAGCAGGAAACGCATCCGCTATTTTCTCGATAAGATCCATTAAGTTTCAACAAAATAAAATATAGAAGAGTGTATAATTATTTTTTAATATATACATTGTATGTATAATGAAAAACGGTATAATCATTAAAATTCATTACTTGTTAAAAATTCACTATTTATCATTGATTATTAATTATTTAATTACAGTAATTAATAATTTTACTATAATAAAAAAAGCTATGAGTTTTTAAGAATTTTTTATAAAAAGGAAATTAAATATTAAAAATGAAATTCATTTGATCGGTTCTATAGTGTTATAAGCAACCTTTTAATATGTGCTTTAATTAGTGTTTTAATTTGTTTGTTAATTAAGAGAAAAAAAAAATTTTCATTCTGTTATCATAATAATGGTTAAACGATTTTTAAAAGAAATTTCGTAAATTTTACATTAGTGATAATATTTGATATTTTTATATTTAATGTAAAAAAAAAATGATAAATTGTATAGTTTTAATCTAATTTTCATTTAATTTTAATATAAAAATTAGAAATTTTAATCAGTTACAAGAAAACAAAATTCTTTATTATCTTGGACTGTACTTTTTTCTTTTTTAATTACATATCACTTTAATTTTATCCAAAGCGGCCGTGTTTGTCTCTTTCATTCTTTCTCTACTTTTAAATAATTTGAGTATAATGCGGAAGACGCGAGTATATCCAATTAGTTCATTTTGTCCCAGATTATATCATGCGAGGCCTAGTAAATTTTATTCTCTTTTTTTTAAAAATTATTTTCTTTAAATTGTTCTTCGTTTTAGTTAATGTCACATTTTTTATATTTAACTCGTTTTTCAATAATACTATTTATTTCAATTACATTTTTTTTTAATTTTTCTTTATCACAATGCCGTTTTTTCCGTAATATTAAATTTCTTAAATATTTTTATACATATTTTAGATATTTTACATATTTTACATAAAAAGTGTTTTTTTATCATTTAATTTTTTTTTTATAAAATAAAAGTTTAACAATTTAAAGAAATTTATTTTGGTATTATGTTTTTTATTGTAAATTGTTATTAAATAAAATTTTAAAAAATTTCAAGTAAAATATAAAATATATGGTAAAAATAAGATATTTTCAAGGGAAAAATTTATATGGAGTAAAGAAAAATAAATGAACACCTCTTATTTCAAGAATGTAAATTACAAAGTACACCATGCATTCTCGCGTGTGAAAATTCCATTAAAACCTGTAAATGTAACATCTGTCATTATCAGACACCAGAAAATTATAGTTTTTTTTTTTTTTTTTTTTTTATCATTTCAGTCACACAAAGCTTGATTAATTAACGTATAATTAAATACATCGTGGTACATATACGAAATTGCCATTTTTTCTTTGACATTACTTTACATTAACATTTGTCGATCGTGTAAATAAAAAATAATGAAAATTTTTGAATGTAAAATTTTTCTATTTTTTCAAAAAAAAAGGTTGATTGCACATTATACATCCTCGAGTAAAAATAAAAGAAGCTATAATTAAAAATTAAATCAATGAAACAGCTAAAATTGAACCAGTAAATTTTTAATTAATTTACTTATTTGGGTTCAATATTTGAAATTCGAATTTAGAATTTCTAATAAATTTATATATAATATTGATATTTAATAATAATAAAAATGATAAAAATAATAATTTTGAAATTATTACAATTATTATTAATAATAATAACAAAATTTTGAAAATATTTTTGATAAAATTAAACAGTTATTTGGGTGAAAAATATGATTTTGAAAATTTTACGTTTAGAGAGTTAATAAGATTTTACATTATATGCGTCTTTATTATAACAACTTTCGTTAAAATCAATTTGCAAAGTCCGTTATGAGAAGGTGAAGGTTCCCCGGACAATTTAAGACGAGGGCACTCGGTCAGTAGCATGTAGCGTAGAATCGTCATCGACCTAATAATTAAGATTTGCTTATAAAGCAAGAAAATTATAAGTTTAGATCACTTATATAAAAATAATAAAACCCCCTCGCGATTTATTAAATTACATAATAATTTTATCAATTTTCTATTGTCTTCAATTATTATTATTTTTTAATTAAATTACAAAAATCAATTCTGTTTATCAAATTATTAAAATCAATAATCAAAGCATCAATTTCACGTTATCAATATTAAATTATTCTTATGAATTTTTCACTAGAAATAAAGTGCTTTTTAAAACCTGTCTTTGAATAAAAAAAAATACATGTTTTCAGATAAAAATTAAAAAATATTATAAATATAAAAAATATTGTATAAGAATTATATGAAATGTATTAAAAATTATATTCTCTTTTTTTTTTGAAAAATTATATACAGGGTGATTTTTATGTTCCGGACCCCCAAAATATCTTGAAAGGAAATAGTTTTTGAGAAAAATGTTGTATACAAAAGTTGTCAGGTTGAAAAAAATCTATTAAACTGAATAATTAAAAAACGGGCCCAGGGCCTTATGTGGGCCCTACAGACAAAAAAGTAAATTTTTTAAATGGAACCAAGTATTTTCAAACTCAGATTCTTGTAGCCAGTGATTTTCTCTTTTGAGACATGTGGTAACTTGTGGGCCCAAAGTTAAATTTGGGCCCAAAATTCGATTTTTTGTGGTTTTAAAGGTGATTTTAGTGTGAATTAGTTCTAAGGGGTTTTTGGGGTCCCTGATTACGAATCTGAAATCAGTTTTTAAAAATTTTTAATAACGGACCCAGAATGACTGATTAAATATGAAAAAATAAAGGAAAATAATGAAACTTCTTATTTTAGACTTATTTAGCCTTCTAATTGTTAATTAAATGTTACTTTTATTGCTTTTAAATTAGTATCATAAACCTTGGGGTAAAAAATTAGATTTTTACAAATTTTAAATTTATGGGCTTATAAGGCCCAAAATTCGTTTTTTTGTGATTTTAAAGGTGATTTTAGTGTGAATTAGTTCTAAGGGGTTTTTGGGGTCCCTGATTACGAATCTGAAATCAGTTTTTAAAAATTTTCAATAACGGACCCAAAATGACTAATTAAAAATGAAAAAAATTAAGGAAAATTATGAAACTTCATATTTTAGACTTATTTAGCCTTCTAATTGTTAATTAAATGTTACTTTTATTGCTTTTAAATTAGTATCATAAACCTTGGGGTAAAAAATTAGATTTTTACAAATTTTAAATTTATGGGCTTATAAGGCCCAAAATTCGTTTTTTTGTGATTTTAAAGGTGATTTTAGTGTGAATTAGTTCTAAGGGGTTTTTGGGGTCCCTGATTACGAATCTGAAATCAGTTTTTAAAAATTTTTAATAACGGACCCAGAATGACTGATTAAATATGAAAAAAATGAAGGAAAATAATGAAACTTCTTATTTTAGACTTATTTAGCCTTCTAATTGTTAATTCAATGTTACTTTTATTGCTGTTAATTTAGTATCATAAAACTAGGGGTAAAATAAACAATAGATTTTTTCAAATTTTAATATTTAGGGGCTTATAAGGCCCAAAATTAGATTTTCTTTGGTTTTAAAAGTGATTTTAGTGTGACTTAGTTTCCAAGGGGTTTTCGTGGTCCCTGATTACGAATCTGAAATCAGTTTTTAAAAATTTTCAATAGCGGACCCAAAATGACTAATTAAAAATGAAAAAAATTAAGGGAAATTATGAAACTCCATATTTTAGACTTATTTAGCCTTCTAATTGTTAATTAAATGTTACTTTTATTGCTTTTAAATTAGTATCATAAACCTTGGGGTAAAAAATTAGATTTTTATACAAATTTTAAATTTATGGGCTTATAAGGCCCAAAATTCGTTTTTTTGTGATTTTAAAGGTGATTTTAGTGTGAATTAGTTCTAAGGGGTTTTTGGGGTCCCTTATTACGAATCTGAAATCAGTTTTAAAAAATTTTTAATAATGGACCCAGAATGACTGATTAAATATGAAAAAAATGAAGGAAAATAATGAAATTTCTCATTTTAGACTTATTTAGCCTTCTAATTGTTAATTCAATTTTACTTTTATTGCTTTTAATTTAGTATCATAAACCTTGGGGTAAAAAATTAGATTTTTACCAATTTTAATATTTACGGTCTTATAAGGCCCAAAATTAGATTTTCTTTGGTTTTAAAAATAATTTTAGTGTGACTTAGTTTCGAAGTGTTTTCGGGGTCCCAAATTATGAATCTGACATGGATTTTTAAAAATTCAAAACAGCGGACCAAAAATGACATAGAAATTAATAAAATTAAGGAAAATTATAAAACTTTTTATTTTAGACTTATTTAGCCTTCTAATTGTTAATTCAATGTTACTTTTATAGTTTTTAATTTAGTATCATAAACTTTAAGGGAAAAAAAATTTATAGATTCTTACTAATATTAATGTTTAGGGGCTTATAAGGATGAAAATTCTGTTTTTAGTTGTTTTAAAACTCATTTTTAATCAACAAAATTTGATTTTTTGTGGTTTTAAAGGGGATTTTAGTGTAAATTAGTTCTAAGGGGTTTTTGGGTTCCCTGATTACGTTTTAAATTCATTTTAGTGTAACTTAGTTCCGATGGGTTTTCGAGCTTCTTGATTACGAATCTAAAATCAGTTTTTAAAAATTCAAAATAGCAGACCCAAAATGACTTATTAAAAATAAAAAAAATTAAGGAAAATTATGAAATTTATTATTTTAGACCTATTTAGCATTTTACTTGTTAACTTAATGTTACTTTTACACAGCTCTAAATTTACTATCCTTTGGGGGCAAAAAGGAAGATTGGTTTATTTTTCAAATTTAAATTTTGGGGGCTTATGGGTTCCA